CGAGGGGTAATAAGTGTGCGGCCTATTTCTAGTCTGTGATGGTACGTTTTTGGAGTTGATTTGGAGGAGCCCTTGAAGGGAGACTTCAAGTTTGACTATGAGAAGGCAAGACATGATCAATCTGGCCGAGACGTGTCAACCATAGTCGGTCCATTCGAGAGCCGTTGCGAGGGCTCACCCTGGCCTCATCATAGTCCATCTCGAAGAAGGCATTGCTCGAGGTTGTCCACATGACAGCATTTGAGCTCCGCGAGTCCCGCTCTCCAGCCAGCAACTGGTACCGTTGGTCGTTTACGGCTAGCGATCAACACTTTACACTGGATTACGTCGAAACGACAACTTTCACTTCTATTCACGAGAGTGGAAAGTGTTCCGAAGGCTGGGTACTTCCGCTTCTGACGTCTCTCCTCCTCTTGTTGATGGCGGATAATGTCATCCTCCCAAAGGAACCGGATCTCTCCAAGAGACTGAGCATATGCTGATGAAATTGAATATCATTACGAGGTTGTTACGATCTGGAATGTCTTAAAGACATCATCTGGATCAGAGGGAAGAACAGGTTCGACCGCACAGTTTAGGCCACATTTCAAGCCGCTAAGGCGCTTAAGACATAGGCCTAAGCTGAAGGAGCTATACTATTCTTTTGCATACAGATCCAGTTTGCCACTTTCACAAAATTATGAGTGCTTGGTGAATAGATTCGAAGGTCGATCCCAATGGCCATTTGACCAGCTATCAATTGGCTTTACTGGAATATACTTGCTCGCGTTGTTTCCGAGGTAACCACTTTTGATTCTGGTGAAAACATGATAAGTTTTCGTCTCTCATATGACGAACACCACCAAACAAATAGGATGAATATACCTAATAAATATGATATGCTGTTAGTCTCGAAAGCTTGCTTATAAATAAAAAATACATAATGTGGTCTATTGCCATAGAAAATATAACTTTGCTTCATCGCCAATCTTACGACATAATGTGATGTGGTAAAATAACTGGCCTTTGTTGAAATTTGCATCTGCTCAGTGACTTAAAGGCACAAGTGGCAATGTGGCGTAGTGGTTAACGTGTCGAGTTTATACGCTGCACCGTCATGGTTCGAGTCCCGCTGGGGGTGTTGATAAAACTAAGGTGAGGTCAAAACTCCAGTCCATTCTGGATTAGAATAACTTTTAATAAAGCAAGGCCAGATGAAAATCAATTAAAACGTCATGCCTACTCATATCATTGTGGGTAAATTCAACTAAGAGTCCCTTAAAAGAAATAGGATGAATTTCCCTCATTTATATGATGAATTGGTAGTCTCAAGACTATATATATAAAGGACAAATAACGAGTCAAGAAGACTCACCAGCTCATCTCTAAATGTCATATACATACCCTATATCAGATCTCTTTGATGAGATATACAGTGAGTTTGTTAGTTTAATTCATATATCAATCTCGAAGAACGTGGGTGTTTCTGTTTGTGTGTTTGTGTATGTGTTAGATGCCTTCATGCGTTCGTATATGCACTAAACTAGTAGTAATGACTCTGAGTAATTAGAGTCAAGGTGCGATGACAATCATCGCCCCTTTTTTACATATATTTTAACCATCACTCCGATTGCTCAAAGTTGTACATACGTTTGGTTATGCTGTTGAGCTCTTTGTATGAATGTATGCCTGACGTCACTTGACACAGCCCTCAGTCTGTGATATTTAGTTTTCGTACGTAAGTAGAGTTTCGAGACTACCAGTAAATCAGTAATATGAGATTTATTCACACTATTTCGTTTAAGGTGATGAGGGACTGGTAGGAGAATTTTCCCACAATGATATGAGTTCTGCCAGCTAATTTTTTGGTTTAAGGTAAGGAAGGACTGTAATTTAGTCGATTGTTGTAGCAAAAATACGTTTGCTTCATTGACAATCCCACCAAAGAATATTATATGCGAAATGGTTTGGCCTTCCTTAAAATTCACATCTGCCCTGTGACACAAAGGCATCGTGGCAAAGCGGCTGAGTGGCTGAGTGTTTAACGTTTAAATCTCATATGCTGCTCTGTCACGGTTCGACTCCCGCTGGGGTTGTTGATAAAACCTATCATGCTTAGTTTGAAATCTCGTCATATTGCCTCAAAGTCATCAATATGGTTACCAGCATTCAAAAGCTGTCACTTTTCGCCAGTAGAATTTTCAGTTGTGGGAGAAATCACGATCATTCCTTCGTCACCATTTGCTACCAAACGCGTTGTCATGTGATCATAGTAAAGCTCTACTGGTAGTATTAAGACCCACTTATTTTGAAATACAATCTTTGTTATTTTGTAGGAATACTCTTTTAAGTACATATAGTTACAGTGAATCTACACTCTACAATGCTTTGAATTCATAATGAAATTCAGAATGGCCAGGTCCGCAAGGTATCCGCCTTTGGTTCAAGAGAAATCGTCATATCTAAAGCTACTTACAACAAAAAGCTTAAGCTAATGTTAAGTCCTCTTATTGACTCAGTCATAAGTGGAATAAAGGACTGATACTCTTATTCCGTTTAATTTGCAAATGCTGGAGAATGTATCGTCGCCTGTGCCCAACTAAACATCGTGGTAATATCACACATGTTAGAGCAAATTGAGGCAGGCTTATTTTTTTTCATGTGAGTTTAAATTTTTAAAAACCATTCATCAGACACGTTAATTCAAAATCCAGGTGATTTAAACAATATTACTTCTCACTTTTTAAACATAATTATTTTTATCAGGTTATTCATCTAAGCCCAGTTACACTAGTACAACATTTTAATATAATTCATGTTTAACGATTATTAATTCGTCATATTCATCTGTTAAGCACTATAACGAACACTATAAGGCTACAGAAAAGTAAAATTTTAAAAAGCGTAAAGATTTTCAGGATCAGGAAATTTTCCGTTACGAAATAACCTAAAAGAAATGTACGCACTCGAGCAAACTCTTTATTAGATTTGGAATAAAAACTTTAGTTAACTTAGGTCACTAAAGGTAATAAATAACTGATAATGAATTTCCCCACACTCAGATAAGTAATACTCACAACACTACTTAATTCTACTTATCCTTGCTTTCCAAACGGTATTCTAATCCAAGTTTGACTGCAGTTTCAAACTAGCCGGAGTCGCATTGGCCCATTATTAGTTTGCCGACCTATTCATTTTGGTTTGCAGTTTGTAAAAAAATCTACAATTATGAGGCGAAAATTTAGGCTGCAAATCATTTGTCTTATTCGAGCAGCTGAATTGTTTGCTATTAAAGATGATTGCTGGATTGAAAAACTAAACGAGTTGAAGAAGGTTTGTGAGAGCGAGATCGAATTCCAGAGCTTTGCTTGCAATACTCAGTGCTCTATTTTCTCTTTTGGAGACGACATTGCTCGAATTAGCAAAACAAGTAGAGTGATTTTCAAAAGTTACCTAAGTTCCTGAAAGTTTTGAAAATAAGCTTTTCCTGTCCGATTATTATTTGGCTGTCCACAGTCTAGCATCCATTTGAGAGTGCTAAATCATAGTAGTTTTCATTTGCAGCCTAGAAAAGTCCTTCGAAACACCAATTCATGGAAGGTTATACTTTTTGGCATTACCAGTGAGGGTTTGGTTTGGAAAGCAGTCATTTATAGTGTTACCGCGAAGCTACACATTGAATATTTAACGTTTTATTAAATTTCTTCGGTATCCAGGGCATAAGATTGAAGCATTGAAGTTTTCCTATTATTTGCAGTGTGAATGGCACAGCTTGTACATAGGCTACCCTTAAGTGCTCTGATGACTTTGTTCATCTATCCTCAGAAGAATGCTAAATTTTTAATTCACTAAATATGTTTAAAATATGTTGGGTGATACAGAGGTAACATGTGCTCTTGCACAATCCCTCAAGGGCTTTAAATGAATATCGCATAAGAATAGCAAATTGTCATCTTTAAATAAATGAGTGTTTGGAAGATTTAAACACAGTTTAGCTCATAACTCCTGAAATGAACAAGATAAAGTTATGAGAATTAACTAAAAAAGCATTATTGTGAAAGATTGAGCTTAAATCATTTGCATATATAATGTTGAATACAGCCGCCTAAAACTGTTTATAAACTTTATGAAGTTCAGCCGAGAGTAGATCAGCATAAAGAAGATTCTGTGGGGTTTGTTGAATGTTTATTTTGATAGAGCATGGAAACCAATCCGTTAACTTTGATGCTACTTTTCCTTCAGATACGAAGAGAAACTTGGTTTCGATGAATCTCCTGAGATAACAATGTTAGGAGGACCTTCATTTCGAATAAAAGTACATGATGAAGAGATTCGTTTGTC